GGGTGGGCAGGGCACGGGTGGGTGGCCCCGACCCAGGCTTGGCGCCTCCTCGGGGGCCAGGCCAGCTGCTCCCTCCTCACCGTCTCTGGCGGCGGCGGCGGCAGCAGCAGCAGCAGCGGCACGGATCAGCTAGTGAGAGCTGTGTTAGCTAGTGATGAGGAATTGCAAGGCGGGCTTCCTCCTGACAAAGCAGTGTGTGTGCGCCCTCGGTCTTTCTGCAGGTGGAAGCCCAGGCGTGGAGGGGGGCCTGGCCCCCGGGGAGCTGTGGCGGCTGGCCCAGGGGCCACTGGACGAGGTGGAGGACCTGCAGCTCTCGGAGGAGGACTGAGGCCCTCCCACCGCGCGTCCCCCTCCTGGCAGTCTCTGGAAGGGCCTGTGCTGGCCTCGGTGCAGTGGGGAAGACTAGAAGGTGGACAGGCTTTATTTTTACAGCATGAAAGACCAAACATGTCGTGAGCTGTGCTGGTCCCTGGCACAGCCGCTGGGGACGGGACCACGCGGGCCTGCCTGCTGCCCAGTCCTGCAGCGGGGGGGCGGAGCGAGCTCAGCCCCCAGGGGCGGCTGGCCCTGACGGCAGCATGTGGAAACAGCCCCATGTGGAAACAGCCCCGGCTGCCGGGAAGGCTGCGGCCCTCTCCCTTCCTCAGCCACCTCTGTCTTCGGCTGGGCTGCAGATCTCAGCAGCCCCGGGCTCTGCAGGCACCCCAAGAAGTCTCTGGAAACTGGCTCCCTTCCCCTTGGCTCACATTTTCCTTTTAAAACCTTTTTGCATTAAAACCAAACGGAGAACTAAGTGGGGTGAGGGCCTGGAACCTCGAACGGAGCCTGGGAGTGGGCAGCCCACCAGCCAGCTCAGCATAGAGGCTGGGAGGGGTCGGGGGCCCCTGGGAGCAGAGCCAAGGTCCCGTTCTCCTGCTTGGGTGAGGCTCGGCTGGCAGGGGCGTGACCCCCACCGAAGGGGGAGGTGGCTGCTGCCGGGGACAGGGGCTGCTCTCCGGTGCCGAGTTCCTGCTCTGAGGCCCGCAGCGTTGGCGGCTGCAGCGGCAGGGCCACGGGGAAGCTGGCCATGTAGAAGACGCGGCCCAGGCGCCTGGCCACCTGCAGAGAGACAGGCTTGGTGGCTGCCTGAGGGGCTGGCTGCACCCACCAAGTGCTTTGCGCCCGTGTTCACCTCCTGCGGCTCACCTGGGCACGGATTTTGAGGGCAGGCCCCAGCTTAAGCCCCATGGTGGTCAGCAGGTGCTCTTCGGTCAGCAGTGGCAGGGTCTCGCCATCAATCCCCTGTTCTCGGAAGACCTGGTGGGTTTGCAGGACATGGGCACTGGGCTTGCCTGCCTGCTCCAGCCCGGCAAGGACCAGAGTGGAGCCCAGGGCTTTTGTACAGGTGTAGGGAACACTTTCAAATGGAAAGGCAGTCTCTGAACGCGGGCTGGAGCCAGCATTTGGCTGAGCTGACCTGGTGAAGTGGGTGGTGGAGCATAGGCCAGCGTGCCCCCCGCACTGCTGCGGAGGAGGGCCTAGAGAACGGTGCTGCCCCACCCGCTCCTTGGGGAGGTGACGGGCAGCCCTGCGCCAGGGTCGTGTGCCCCCTCACCCTAGTGTACTCTCCACAGCCAGACAGGCCCCCCACGAAGCTGCAGACGTCGTCCACTGTCCACTTGCTGACGTCCTCGGGGGCAGTGGCCTCTTCCCCATCCGTGAAGAGTCCCCCGATGGCGCCTGAGTGGAGAGTGTTACTGGGGCTCTGGCCAGCTCTTCCCATGCCCCTACCCACCCGCTCGCGCCTCACTGCTTGACGTTGGGCCCGCAACTAAGGGGTTTTTCTGTCGGCGGGCCCTCCTCCCTGGCACCCTGCCCCCACTGAGGGATCCCACGGGGCGCCCACCTGTGTGGAAGTAGGGGTTGACGGTGTAGGGGAAGCCCAGGGGCAGCGGGGGG